AATATGATAATTTCAAGGCCTACCTAAAAACTTCTGTTTTTCTGGAATAACTAAGGTTTGACAATGTCAATGTATGAACGTTATAAAGGCAGCATTGCACAAAATTTGTCATTTCAACGTAATTTGGCTTTAAATATGTGTAAATCGATGCAGTTTTCACGTAATAATGTTTAAATTATGTGTTTTTATGCTTTGTGCGAGTATACCCCTCCTCTCCAAGAGGAACTCCAAAATTGGGGGGTTACGGAAAAAAACGAAATATGCAAAAATAAGAATGTACACCTGCGGATTTGAACTTAGTCGCATGAGTCAGCTATACTTTGTCTTTTGTAATAGATGTCGCGCTATATGGCCTACAGCCCCCCAAAATACCCCCTACCTCAATTTTAATATTAAACACATCGAAAACATGCTCATCATTTTCGAAAATCGACCTAGGGCACTTAAGGCGGTGTATATACGAAAAAAATCATAATTTCCCAAAATCGGGTTAGATCCAGGATTTTTTTCGATACATCGTGATTATTTATCATATTCTAACCACCCACCAAGCGGTTTGCCCGAATGGCGTCCGGAAGGCTATCCGCACTTCGATCAGAATTCGATCAGACACCTGTCATTTGTGAAAACCGACTTAGGTCCAGGGCAATGCGACATATCGCAAATAATGGTCAAGCTGGTTATGCTCCACTTTGAAATAAATCGGATAAGTCCTGCGAACTGATCAGCAGTCTGTTCTCGCGTTTTGTTTCGGATGTAATTTTGTGGTAGGTGTTCAATTGGGAAATGTCTTACGGATGCCCATCTTTGAGTAGTTCTTTGTCGGTTTTATATACCACCTCTAGTTGGTAATCGCGGGCACTACGATATTTAAGCCAGTTGTTTATTCTCTGAACCCCTTGCTTGTCGAAACTGCTCATCATCATCACCAGCCCGGCCAAAATCGGACGCAGAAAATTTGAAATACTGACAGTGGCCCGGTCGAGTACATTTGGCATATATAGCACAATTGTTCCGATTGCGCCTAAAAGAATATAATGCCAAAAAAACACGCATATTTTAACGATCTCCATGTCATTTTTTATTTCAATTGATAGAATAGTGAAATTGTTGATTTCGGCCGGGTACTGCTTACCTTTTGTTGTATTTCATGAAATATAACCGTTAATAGCCACCATGCACCCACAAGAAATTTTTGATATGCCTAGGCACTAGTTCACTTCATCCACCAACTTCACGATATCACACAACACGTGCAACACTCACTTCTTGGTGAAATTCGTTTGCAGACATTGTAGTATTTTGAAGAAGTACTATGACCCGAGATACCCAACGACACAAACAAAACTAAATTATGCCAAAGAAAATTTAGCTAAACGTATCTTTTTTTTACAACCTTTACCTGTACGTATCCTTTTTGTTTACAACCTAAAGACTACAGAAAATTCCGTTACAATGAGGAAGTTTCCTATTTTTCAAAAGACACCCAAAATGATAGTCTAAGTAAAATGAAGAACAGCGCTGAAATTTTTTTTAATATCTTGAAAAATAACAAAGTTACGCTAGTCAGAAGTTTATAATTTGGAGAATTGTGTGGTGGGCCGTGCGAGTGAGTGATGACGTCACATGACGGAAGCTTATCAGCCCAGCACCACTGCAAGGAGATGCGCCCGCCGCGCCGCGCCGCACACGCTTCCCTCTATTAATAACAATGAGTAAAAAGTGGGTCAAACCTTCAACCTACAAATATTTTATTGTATCTAGGTGTACAAATACTAGCATATCAGCAGTATTAGAAAGAAGTGGTGCAAGGTAATGAATAGGGACGATAAACTGCCGCTGTCGGAAAAATCAACGTTGTTTTGCTGTGAATCCCATTTTGATGTAAGCAGCTATTTAGCTAATACCTATGATATAAATGGTAGCAATAATAATTATTATTAGTCTTAGTCTGTATGCCTCGCATGATAAGGTCAAGAATCTAAATGGTTAATGTGAGTATTTGTATAGTCCCGGACGTAAACTCACTCCACTCTCGGAATGTCCGGGTGGAGGGTGGGCTCGAGGGAACAACATCGAAGATAAAATTTGTTTTTCGAACATCTGCGGGATCAACAGCAACATTGATGCTGTTCATCACTACCTGCAATCCAATCGTCCCGCCGTGCTTTTCTTGGCAGAGACAAAAATCTCAGAGGCTGCACCGATTAACCATCTCAACTTCCCAAACTACGAGGTGCACTCCAATCTGAGAAAGAACGGGGGAGTTGTGGCTTTTGTCCGCACCAGTCTATCCTGCTCCAGGGATCTTTCTTTGGAATCAGACCGGAAGGACATTCTGTGGCTTCGCCTCAACTCCAAAACATCACCCAAATTTATTTGCTGCCTTTATCGCTCTCCCTCAAACCATAACTGGGATGACCTACTCGAATACCTCGCCGTCCAGATCGACTTCCTGAACATCAATCACCCCGCTTCAGAGGTAGTTCTTCTCGGTGATTTCAATGCCCATAATGAGCTTTGGTTGGGCTCAAATAAGACCGATGCAGCAGGTCGTGCAGTCGAAGCGTTCGCTCTTACTCAAGGGCTGACCCAGCTGGTGACGAGCCCTACTTTTTTCCCCCGCGTCTCGTCACACGCCAGTAGCCTGCTGGATCTCTTTCTGACCACGCATCCTGCCCCTTACAGCACTGCCGTCCTGTCCCCCCTGGGTAACTCAGATCACGGTGTTGTGGAGGTTAGGTTTCGGTCAGAAGCCGCTGTGGCCGCAGAAACTCGCACAGGCCGCAAAACTTGGCATTACGGACATGCCGACTGGGAGGGGCTCAGAGACTTCTTCTCTAGCTTTCCTTGGAGAGATGTCTGTTTCACTGACGCGGATGCGTCGACTGTCTGTTCTTCAATAACCGAAATTATCCACGTCGGAATGGAGGAATACATCCCTCACACAGTGAAAGTTCCTAAACCAGGGTCCAACGGCTGGTTCAACTAATCGTGTGACACTGCTCGCCAGCAGAAGATCAAGGCCCACAGAACCTACTTACAAAACCCCACTGTAGAGAACAGACAAGCCGACGTCGAGTCCAGAAACAAATATAACGAAGCGGTTCGCAATGCCAAAACCCAGCACGATATAAAAGTTAGGCACAGGGTAATGTCGCAGCGCAATGGCAGTCGGTCTTTCTGGACGTTGGCCAAGCAGATTGAAAATAACTTTTCACACAGTAGCCTTCCACCACTTACGTGTCAGGATGGAACTATTGTATTCGACTCAAAGGCCAAGGCGGAAGTGCTAGCCAAGATCTTTGCTGCCAACTCCACCATGGACGTCCCCACCAACGCCCAAGTGCCGTCAATTCAAAGGGTTCCCCACACTATGCGGGAGCTAACATTCAGGCATAAGACCGTAAGACGAGTGCTCTTGTCGCTCGACATCAACAAAGCTTCTGGTCCGGACTTGATTCCTGCCATTGTACTGAAGAGATGTGCAGCTGAGCTTGCTCCAGTTCTTTCGCGTCTCTTCCAGATATCTTATGAATCCGGCATCTTCCCAGAAAACTGGAAATTTGCTCATGTACAGCCCTTCCCAAAAAAAGGATCTAAAACCGACCCTTACAATTACAGGCCTATAGCTCTGCTTTCTGTTATAAGTAAAGTGATGGAGAGGTGCATAAATCGCGAGCTTCTGGACTACCTCGAACGTCACAGCTTGATTAGCGACAGGCAGTACGGTTTCCGGCACCAACGATCCACAGGTGACCTCCTAGCTTACGTCACGCAACTGTGGAGTAAACTCATCCAGTCTCATGGTGAGGCTCATGTCGTTGCTCTTGACATCACGAAAGCGTTCGATCAGCTGTGGCACGCTGCCCTCTTAAGCAAACTTCCATCCTACGGCCTCCCAGAAAAGCTTTGCAGATGGGTGGCTGACTTTATCTCTGGCCGCAAGATATCCGTCGTAATTGACGGATTCTCCTCTTCATCCCACAACGTCAACGCGGGTGTTCCCCAGGGATCGGTCTTGGCTCCAACACTGTTTCTCTTACATATCAACGACCTCCTTTCCTGCACGATCAACCCTATCCACAGCTTCGCTGATGACAGCACTCTACATGCAGGAATTCAGAGTGACAAGCCGATCTCTGCCGCTGAGCTGGAAAAAAGAAGACTAGCGACGACTTCTTCTCTGACAAGAGACCTGGAGGCTATCACTGCTTGGGGACGCAACAATCTTGTACAGTTCAATGCTTCCAAAACACAGTACTGTACTTTGACGAACAAAAAGCGTCCTAGCGCTCATACAGTTTCTATGGACGGTCGAGTCCTACCAAAGAGCCATTCATTTCGGCTGGTCGGAGTCCAGATCACCGAGGACCTGATCTGGCACGAACACATCTCTTCAATAGCTGCAGCTGCTGGGAAAAAGCTAGGCTATTTGTTTAGGGCTAAGAAGTACTTTTCTCCGCATGACCTTCTCACTCTATACAAGGCCCAGATAAGGCCTAGCCTCGAGTATTGCTCACACATTTGGGGTGCTGCCGCCCCGACTACATTGTCCATGCTCGATGCTGTCCAGAGGAGGGCGGTCCGACTGATCGATGCCTCTTCTCTAACAGACAGTCTCGGGACTCTTTCGCACCGGCGGGCCGTCGGCGATCTAGCTCTTTTCTATCGCTACACCAACGGGCTTTGCTCCTCAGAGCTCTCTTCCATGATGCCGCCGCGCGATGTGCCTGCCAGACAGACCCGCCTGACTTCGGCGTCTCATCCTAACCGTGTCAAACTTCGTACATCCAGAACTGGCCGATACGACCGCTCCTTTGTCCCGAGGGTATCTAGATTGTGGAACAAACTACGGGAGGAGGCTTTTCCCAGTTCTACTAACCTTAGGCAGTTCAAAAATCGTATTAACAAAATTTCTTTGGGATCATCATAGTAGCCGCGGTGTTCCGGCATTTAGGCTTCTGCCTGCGCGGCTGTTTCGATATAAAAAAAAAAAAGTAATCATCTTGTTGCTGTAGGGGGAACACTGTTCAAACCTTGTTTGTGCCGACGTGGTGATGCATAGGCGTTGGTCAAGTGTGGGATTAATGTGTAATGTGAAAGGCTTCTATGAATTTTAGATTACTGCCAATAGTAGATAATCTGGCATTTGGCCAGTAGCACTTCACGGAAGCGCATGGTGGTTCTTCGCTTCTTCTGCGCAGCCACATTAACGGCGCTACACCATGCCAGCCACCCTCTTGTGTAGCACAACCACTGCATTCTTGCTTGATTAGTTTCCTCATTTTCGTCGCGTTCAAAACTGCAATGATACGGATTGCCTTTAACTCTATGTTCGGGCGTAATCCTGGCTTTTACAATACAGAGATCCCGTTCTCTTTTTAACCGCACATAACCAATCGCCTCGTCTCCATACGTGTCTCTTCCAGACCTATAGATAATGACAACACCCAAATAACAATACCCAAAAATAAATGTCGAATCATTGATTCTGCTCCTGGTTAACAAATGGACATCGTGAATTGTTACGAAAGAATTATTAGATTGCTGTGAGTCAACACCGGTCGGCCATCAAGTCGTATTGGCGTTGGATTAAATTTCAGTTCAAACAGTTGATTTTCTGGTCACTGCGCGATATTGAATTTATTATTTATCAAACGTATCCGCTGGAGTTTGGGTCATCCTAAATTATTTGATGCATTCAAAGCATGTTTTCATTTTCTTCTATTTATAAAATTAATAAAGCCAAATAAGATCATTCGTAATACCCCGCCACTGACACCACGCGTCCTATGTAAAGTTGATGACTCCACAGTATATGGTATAGTCGCAGGCAATGGGTGGAAAAAATGGGTTCACGTTATCAGAATTGTATAGAATAAATTATACTGTTTACTTACTTACGTATTTCCGTACTGACATAAAGTGGATTGGTTGTGAAGAAATTCATTACCATTATTATGTCCACCTTCAAAAGATTTGTGGAATCGGCTCGTAAAAAACTTTTTGTCAGCTTGAGCGCTAAGGATGTATGCGATATGCCGTCGTGTCGTCCGACCGCTTCACTACCGACGCACGACGTTCCGTCATGTGACGTCACTACCGAACCTCGACGCGCGAGGCCGATCGGCTACAGCAGCCAACACAGACAATGTCATAACTTCCTTAAATTTAAAGTTATTGGAACAATTCTTTCATATTTGTCAAAGATACTAGTTATACTATCAGATGCAAGTAACACAGGCAGTATTTTCGACTATAGGAAACTTCCTAATTGTCCATTTTACATGGACATTCCTGCAAACAGCCCAACTGCATCCGGTACCTTTGCTGGAGAAACACAGTGATTAGATTAGTATTAGATTTTGATGATGGATTCTGAATCAGCGACCTATATACTTAACGGCCTTCATACCTACCCCCTGAAAGGCCATAATCCACAAGGTGGCAGTACAATGAACAAATTCATGATAAAATGATACGCCTTGCCCACTATCCCTTGAACACACCTACAGTATATTTAGATAAGAGATAGACCGGATGTAAACAAAAGGTTCGGGTGATTTTCACGCTAACGCCGCCGTCTCGACGTAAAACAGGAGCCCTCATTGGTCAATTCGCAATTAAATGCCTGTGCCGAGCGGCAGAGCAGTCGTATCAAGGCAGAGTCACATTCAGGTTCAGACGTGTTACGTATGTCGTGTGCATCATTGCAATTTGATATTTCTTTGGACGTTTTCGTTTGTTATCTTATTAAGTTGTTGAGTTTGTCGTTGTTATTGTTATACCTTGTTATTGATTGTTATTGTTATCAACTGCTTGCGCAAAATGCCCAGTAGTACAGATACTGCCGATGAAGTTGTAAACTCCTGTAGTCCACCTAGGAAACGCTCTAAAAAAAGACACCTGAGTGCAGAAATGAAAGAGGTCATTTTGAATATATATGTATAAGATCGAGCGCGAGGAGAACGAGGCATCAACCATCAAAGAAATTGTTGTGAAGGTTTCTCACAAAGTTGGGGTGTGTCGCGCATCAGTGTTTAATGTGTTAAGACAATATAAAAAAAATCACACCTTTTCTGAGCCAATGACCAGTAAACATCGCAAAAGTATTGTTAAATCATTGGATGAAGCTGATAAGCATGCGATTAGGAGGAAAGTGCATGAATTCTTCTTCAGGAATGAAATACCTACTATAGATAAAGTACTGCAGGAGGTAAATGGAGATACAACGTTGCCAAATTTCAAACGATCAACTTTCCATGCGTTACTGAAGCATTTAAATTTCAAATGTAAAAAACGGGGTCGTAATAGTTTACTACTGGATTTAAATTTCAAATGTAAAAAACGGGGTCGTAATAGTTTACTACTGGATAGAGAAGAAATTGTGCTATGGAGGAGGGATTATTTAACAAAAATTGGGAAATATAGAAATCAAAACAGGAAGATTTATTACCTTGATGAAACGTGGGTAAACGCAGGACACACTACAAGTAAAGTATGGGTTGATGATTCTGTAACTTCATCCAGGAGGGCCTTTCTAGATGGACTGTCCACCGGATTAAAAATCCAGCAGGTAAATACGAGTAATTTTATGTGTTTTCGATATTTCAATAATTTTTTAATATAATCTTAAAATATGTCGAATATTATAAACTTAAAAAAGTTACTAAGTTTTATATTGTGTACCGTTCCTAATATTTCTAATCATTTTAATTCATACTTTAAGCTTTATAAAGTTATAATTTGTTAATATTAATATTTGCGCGTATTTCAGGTTCCTGATCATTCATTTTTTAAAGGTTTATAACTTTAAATTAAATTGTGAAGCGCTGAGTAATCATACGACGTTCAATATTCTTTCTTTCAATATGACTAAATAATCCCAATTATAGCAATCTGATACTCATGTCTCAATGTTTTTTCGCTGAATGTGATGAAAACATTTGAAAAAGGTTCGCTTATTGAAATAAATCTACACCAGTTAGTACTTCGATTTCCAGGTAAAGGGAAAAGGCTCATTATCTGCCATATTGGCAGTGAGGATGGATTTATTGTTGACGGTCTGCGGTGCTTTGAGACTAAGAAAACTGGAGATTACCACGAGGAAATGAATGGCGAATCGTTTGAACAGTGGTTTTCAAAAATTTTACCGAACTTAGAGGAAAACGCAGTAATTGTGTTGGATAATGCGCCTTATCATTCTCGAAGAATGGAGAAGGTCCCAACAACGGCTTCAAGGAAAGTTGATGTTCAAAATTGGCTCCGCTCGAAAAATATCAACTTTGAAGAAGCAATGCTGAAAGTACAATTATTAAGAATTGTCAAGGATCACAAGGCGGAATATCAAAAATACGCCATTGATGAAATGGCAGCAAGTCAAAATAAAACTGTGCTCCGTTTACCTCCATACCATTACGAGCTCAATCCCATTGAGCTCATATGGGCAGAGGTTAAAAATTATATAGCTAAGCACAATACAACTTTTAAATTTTGTGACCTCAAAGGACTTTTCAAAGAAGCACTAGAATTAATAACAGCGCAAAAATGGGAAAACTGTATTAAGCACGTGAAAGACAAAGTTGAAAAGAGAATGTGGGAACTGGACAATATTTTAGAGTAACAAATCGAGCCATTCATTATTGACGTTGGTGCTTCAGGCAGTAGCGATGATGAAAGCTCATCAAGCTCATCTTTCCAATAAAAGATGTCGTTCATCAAATTCGGTAAGTTATAAGTAATTATAAAGCTACTGTATTTTTTAATTAATTATTGACATTTTTGAACCCATTTTGGCAAAACCTATTCAAGAATCTACTTTCTGACAATGTTCAACCATGCACATTTTTTTACGTTTTGAACGTTTTAATTTGGTTACATATTTACCTAGAAATCAAAAAATATACTAATCAATATTCTAAAAGCAATTTTAAGAGATATACGATTATTTTTAATTTAGGCTAATTTAAACGCCATTTTGAGATTAGATTCGACTGTATTTCACCAAACATCAGGCGGCATCCGACGCTGGAAATCGAAGCGAAAATTTTGAAACCCTTATGTATATTTACATCATTATATATTTCTTACCCCACCCCCACATGATCCTATATCCATCACCAATCGTATACACTTCGAATTGTGCTAATTTACTACAAAGTTACGCAAAGCAGCATCTACTATCTAAAATATGTACTGCGTGACTCTTAATACGTCCCTGCCGAATGTTACAGCGTTCGATGATCACGTGGTCTTGTTTATGTCCGGTCTATCTCTTATCTGAATATACTGTACTCATCGTGGCTTCGGAGCACAACGTTGCCACAACAACGGTTCATAGTGTAGCGACCTAATCCCCGCCCCGCCGGTCAGTGCGATATTTTGCCATAATAACCATCGATCACGAATATAGTTGGTACCACCTTCACCCTCTACCCTGCTACTAAGCCATTCGGCGCGTGCCGCTCGGTCGATAATTCTGCGACGCAAGGACCTGAATGTTTACTCACGGGTAACTATTGGCACTATCACAGCAACAAAACAAAAACTAGAGATTATTACAAATCAGTCATTTTTACACGCATAAAATAATTTGACAATATGTATTAATAATGCTGCCCTATTCGCACAATTGAAAAAAGGGATGAGCGATCTTAAAGGTGGTCCCGGTTGTCGATAAAAATGAATACACGGATTTAACAAAACTGTCATATTAATCAGGGTCACTCAGCTCTAATGATAAGGCCATGTAAAGAGACTGATAACTTCATCTCACCGTAATCAAAACCTGTTCAATGCCTAATGCTGTTTTACAACATCACATCGTAAAGAGACTTATAACTTCATCTCACCGTAATCAAAACCTGTTCAATGCCTAATGCTGTTTTACAACATCACATCGCCTTCCGATGCAAAACAGAGTATAGCCCACGTTTATATTTACATACAGCCGTCAATATTTTACATAGGGCAATGTCACACGATCAGCATTTTTACAGTACCATCAGTTTCGACTAATCTTTCCATCAATATCAGTAACCTTGTACATTAATAATTACTAGCGTCTTGGCTACAACGGTAATAAGTACCACATTACATTTTACAGTACAGTGTATATTATGCGAGTTACACGGATATAGCTGAAAAATCGTATTTATTTTACTATATTGTTACATTCTGTATTACAAATACACAAAACCAGTATTGTATAAGTTTACTCAATAACATTCAAATCACCCTGAGGTGATACAGTCTACGAGAGATCGACGCACAAACTTAGTCGCGTGGTTACTTTGCAAGATGATAGGTGCCTGATCGAAATGAGGATGTTAGAACATGTTAAATAAACATCATTTGCACAAAAAAAAATTATCGGATTCTGATCGAAGTGCGGATAGGAGCATTATTCATTTATCGAAAAAAATCCTGGACCTAACTCGATTTTGGAAAATTATGATTTTTTTCGTATATATACGTAGTCGTGCCATAAGTTCTGTCCCATGATAATCTCATGATAAAAATGAAACAAGATAAGATATATTTATATGAAAGATATTATTTATTCGACAACATTTTAGAATTCATAATCAAACAGTTTTATTCAAAATGTCCCCCCTTGGCCTTCACACACTGCTTCAATCTCGCGGGCCACTCATCTATCACTGCACGCACAGCTTCCAAAGGAATAGCTGCCGCTGATCGGATCAAATCCGCTTTCAGGGACTCGATATTACGGTGGGCTTTGGAGCAGGCCAACTGCTCTAGCAGGTCCCACAACTTGTAGTCTAAAGGATTGAGGTCCGGACTCCCTGAGGGCCAATCTTCCGCAGCAATGAACTCTGGCACATTGCTTTCCAGCCAGCGCTGCGTACTCTTAGCCTTGTGAGCGGGGGCGGAATCCTGCTGGTAGACCCAGTGTTGGTTGGCAAACAATGTACCACTTAAAGGCTTGACGATAGGATCCAGTATGTCGCTCTGATAGTTTGCCGCTTTTGTTTTCACGCCCTGTTTACAGAAATGGAGCTGAGTGACCCCTTCGTAGGACACCCCCCACCAAACCATGACTGACGCAGGGTGGTGGCCTCTCTCAACTCTCGGAATGATCTCCGAAGCTTCCTGTGAACTCCTTGCATACACTTTGTCATTTTGTCGGTTGAATTTTTCTTCTATGGTGAAGATTTTCTCATCCGTGAACAAAATCTTTCGGAATCCCCCAGCTGCGTACCTCTCCAAGAGCTTCTTGGATCTTGTCGCCCTGATGTGTCGCAAGGTGGCCGTAAGTCGCTGGCCCGTACGTCTCCGGTAAGCCCCTAGCCCTAGGTCTTGTTTAATGATGCGCGACATCGTCCGGACAGGAATCTTCATTTCCCTGGATAGGATCTTCTGCTTCCGGAGTGGATTCCTTTGAATCCTGGCTTTTACGGCTTTGATGGCTGCTGGAGTCCTTACTTGACGAGGTCTTCCGCTTCTTGGCCTGTCATCAACAGAGGACGCCTCATTGTACCGCTGAATGGTCCTAGACACAAATTTACGCGATATTTGAAGGCCGCGTAAGAGTTCAAAAATCTGACTAGCACTGTGATTACACTTATGTAAAGCTATCACTGCAATACGGTTCTCTGCCTTGCCCCACTCCATCGTTATGCTTCGAGAGATCAATACAAACTGAGGTATATGTAATTACCCGAAAAGCGCTTAATCAACTGACACCACAATGTAAACAATCGGACAAGTATTAACAGGTCTACACTTGTTTGAAAACGAGGGACAGAACTTATGGCATGACTACGTACAGCGTTAAGTGCCCTAGGGGCTGAAAAACAATGTTGCGGGGCACTCTCGGCAAAGCCGCTTTGTGAGCTGCTAGGGTAGCATAATTCTACGAGATACATGCAATAAAACCCTGGACCTAAGTCGGTTTTCACAAATGACAGATGTCTGATCGAATTCTGATCGAAGTGCGGATAGCCTTCCAGACGTCAATCGGGCAAACCGCTTGGTGAGTGGTTAGAATATGATAAATAATCACGATATATCGAAAAAAATCCTGGTCCCAACTCGATTTTGGAAAATTATGATTTTTTTTGGTATATACACCGCGTCAAGTGCCCTAGGGCTGAAAAACAATGTTCCGGGGCACTCTCGGCAAAGCCGCTTTGTGGGCTGCTAGAGTAGGATCATTCTACGAGATACATGCAATAAAATCCTGGACCTAAGTCGATTTTCGAAAAAGATGAGCGTGTTTTCGATGTGTTTAATATTAAAATTGAGGTAGGGGGTAATTTGGGGGGGGCGCCATCGTTTACAAGAGACATAAAGTATAGCTGTCTCATGCGATTAAATTCAAATCCGCAGATGTATATTATTATTTTTTCAACATTTCAGTTTTTTTCCCGTTACCCCCCAATTTTGGATTTCTTCTTGGGGAGGAGGGGTATACTCACACAATACATAAAACCACATAAAATAAACATTATTACGTGAAAACAGCATCGATTTACGCATATGTAGAGCCAAATTACGTGGTTGTATGTTGCAATGACAAATTTTGAACACTGCTGCCTTTATAACGTTTTCGATCGAGCTCGATCGATCGGTTCTTCAGCCACATGAAGTATCATACATTTTTGGAATCAGAATAACTGTGCAAAAATCAAAAATGGCGTCCTTAAGAAAAAATAAAGTTGATGCTGATGTAGAGGAAAAAAAAGGGGTATGTTAATGAGCAATTTGTTTTGAAACCCCATCACAGTCAGCAAAAAAAATAAAACCATTTTGGTTCGGTTTCCTGAGTCTCTCTTCGGAAGTACTTTGGATTTCGAAACTTTATAACCTCAAAACGCGACTTAGTATGTCTTACAGTTTCCGACATTCCCACGGTGAGCGTCGATTTGAAACATCCTGTATATGCATATGTATACCTTCCTGGCTATTATCTAATTTACTTTTATCTATTCTACCACTCCTACTATCACTATTTTATGCAAATATGATAAGGGCCTCGCACATTATTGTGACGAAAGTACATCAAAAGATCAAAATCACTGATACACTAGAACAGACTATTTAAGAGACTTGTTCACATTGTTGCACAGCCACTATGCAGAAGCAACATCCTAACATCCTTTTCCCTTCCGTCAAGAATTAACAATGCAAATCGCTAGGGATGGCAAAGATACATCGATGTATCGAAAACATCGATACATCGGACGTAGAACATCGATGTTTAGGCATCGATGGTTTTATGACGATATATCGACATCGAAAGGATCATAAATATCGGTATACCCCGAGTATATCCTTAACTGTGCTACCATCTCTAAGCGAGGACTGGTGGCTTCTAAATTGAAAGCCCAGAAAGCTGTTTAGTAGTATCTTTATAATGTTATCATTACAGCCGTGACATGGACTGTAGTCTTTTCTTTATTCTGTACTTCCCCAAGGGATATAATAAAATAAACTGAAAACAGCGCATTTACGCATTTACTGATTTTAGGTTCTTTTGATTATTTTATTGTATGTAGTTGTAGTGTCGCTATTTTATTGTTAATTAATCGAAATGCCACGAAAAAGTGATGTGTGGAAGTACTTTAAAAAACACTCTTCAACTTGTGCACAGCGAAAAGTATCTAATGATCATCAATGTGTTCTTAATTTTGACAATCTCATATCTTGCAGTTACCTATAATCATACTTCTTTACTGAAATATATGCAGTCGGTATCCTTCGTTTATCCTACCGTGAAGTTGCTGTCGCGTTTTTTATGCTTACTTAATGGTTCTAAAATCGAGAAAAAGAAACGCGGTGGGTTATTAAACCAACGGATAAAATGACCATTCCGCTAAAACCGATAGCAATTAATGAATTCGTTGCTGAATGGAAAGCAGAAAACGTTAAAAAGAAGAGTTTTTTCGATACATCGGTGTATTTATTTGTTCCGATGTATCGAGCTCCATCGATGTTACGATGGCGATGTTTGTCGATGTCCAAACATGGATGTTTTCTACCAAATTGCCATCCCTACAAATCGCTCACTTGTTGACTGACAGTGGTATTCCAATCCCCCCCACACTAAGATAAAGCTGAACATACACTACCTTAATATGCATCCACCATAATCCAAGGTTCACTAAATATATCATACACTTGCCTTAAGATTTTGTACCGTATCTCGTTGGTAGCACCTCCGCTCTTAACACACAAATAACAGTTACCTTAAATAATTGGTTACCGTATAATGCCTGAAGATAGCCATGGAACCAATACATTTCGTCCCAGAGGCAAAACGAAAAAACGGCTACGAGGAGCGGGTCAAGACACCTCCAGCCAAAGTTTTTTCTATTTCCATTCCTTTATGAGGAGGCAAACCTTAAGAGGCCCAGGTTGCTGTATCCTAAAAAGTGCTACTACTTCAGCGCCCAAAAAATTGGTGAAATTAAATATCCGCAATAATTACAATAAGAAAACATGGTCAAACAGTTTTTCTGGAAAATTATCATAACCTCTAATGAACTTGTTAACTATTCTGAGTAATCAAATTATTAAATTCAATTAAACTGAACTTTTTGGGTTAATTGAAAGCAATTTACTGTTAAACTAATTTGGTAGAAAATAGTAAACCACGTACCTGTTTTATTAAACTGTTTAATCAAATTAGATGATTTAGTTTATCTAGAAAAAAATGCACTTGAGACAAACATTTTCATGAAATCAATATAGCTGTTTATTTGAATGGCGAACTTCGCACGACTAGGCTCTCCGTTCCTGAATGAGCAGGAGTATCCAACATGTTGGTGACGTGCTTCGAACTCCTTAATTTTGGATTTTTAATACTTGAACTGGAGATACAGCCACCTTGCGTATCTCAAGTAAACTGTCACCTCTAAAATAAATAAATCTTCCGAATACGTGCCACAACCCAGGACGGCGACAGCCACAAGTCTATATACTTTTTATTTGTAATTTCAAGCTTTGCAACACACATTCTCATGGTGTTCATACATATAAAGTTGAAGCTTTCATGCGTTTGATGAAATATAACATTAACCTGTTTCTGAATTCGTGATAAATATGCACAATGATCAAAAAAAATCCATTTACCGGTATTCACAAATTGGACAAGATTGTGGTAGTGAATGGCTCGCTTTATGCGTACGTGCAAGGTGCTGTTCTTAGTTCAGTGGCGCTGCCTAGCGCCTTCACTGCTAATCATCCTGCGTTCTCGACGGATCACGAAGGACCGGTCCATTCGAAGAGAGATCAGGGGGAGTCCGCACATCGCTATCCTGTAGACGGCCGGCTCGCGATGCGGTGTTGTCGCTTCTTCTGATTTTTCAGCATGTATGTGAATCATCTGAAAATTGAATTATCAATGTTCATTACATTATTCTGGATTTATTCACTTATTAGTGGAGTTATGAAGAAGTCCTTATCTTTTGGGCATATGCATTTGAACTTAAAATCAATGAAATTAAATCCAATGATAACAAAATTGATGAGCTAGGGTCCATTTTGTTCAAAGATGGAAGAAAGTATCTTTGTTGTATCTTTAAGAAACTATTCAAATACATGTCATTAAAAATTTTCAACTATGAAATATGTATTCCATGGGCTACAGGTCGAAGAGTTTGATGGATATTGACATACGAGCTGCCTCTCGATTTGTCTGGAAATATGAGTTGCACTTGGTATATTTGAATTTTATGAAATCAAATTGACGTATTTTCAACGAAAATTTCAATCTTGATAATATTATTTCAGAGCTACAGCTGAAACGGCGTAATAGGCTGTGGTCTGTACCTAAAACTGAAAAGGAGGATTATAAACGCAACCTTTAACTCCGAAATTTCTATTTTCGAGCTACAGCCCAAACAGCTTGATGGATATTGCAGAATTAAAACTTTATTCTTTTCAGTTACAGTCGGTTTTTAGTAATCTTTAAAAATATACTACACACATACTGTACCAAAGCTCCATGTACAAAAACGGAAAGACTATTGAGCGCATTAAATCATGTCAAAAATGACATCTGACAGACTAGGTAGTATGTATTGTTGGTTGCAGAAGTCCAAGTAGTGTCTTTCTCTGAGAAGATGTGAAAGAAAGAAAGTTGAATGAGTAGCAAGATCGCATCTGGATGATTATGTGTATTGGTCTACATGTGAACAAAATTAGTGATATTTGCTATGTGAGAAAATGATTACTAAATATGCTGCCAATAAAGTATATCTATTAGCTGTATCCGACAGGTATAGCTGTCCTTTCTAAAGACAGGTTATAAATTACGATTTTTCCCGTTTTTTTTTGTTTTCAAAAACTTTGAGGAGAATTACGGAAAATCACCACTGCTCCCGCGTTGTGTGTTATAACTAAATAATACTTGCAATATGTGGCAGTATGTAAGTATAAAATATGAGATTCCACATAAAGTTTATTACTTCACTAATCAGGGATTTGCTCTCTCATTTTTGAGATTCAGCAAATTTGCCATTTAGATTAAAGAATGAATAAGAAAAAGTGGATGAGCAACTAATTTCTAGCATTGAATAAGTCCGAAGTAAGTGTATTTGAGACAAGAAACCAATGGAGTTATCATCAACACAGATTATTAGCACACAAATCCTCACTATGCGCATATGAATTGCCATTTCCTTCCAGCTATAGTATATAACTTACAGCTTAGACCTCCAATGATGCCATCTCTGAAGCAGATGTTACATCACAACAGAGCTAAACATTGATAACTAAAGCGTCATGACGTTTAAGCAACACGTCCAGCTACAAAACGGGTTCACAACAAGTGTACAATAGCCAGTGCTAAATTGACATCTTGTAGAAAAACCTGCGTTATGCCACAAAAAAAAATTATAAAATGTCAAAAATACGGACAAAATGTCACTTTCCAAGACAATAAATAATAATAACTATATTTCCGGATGACTACACAATTAGTAGTATTGGAATGGTCAATTCCAGTTATAGGTATCATGTGTATTGAAATAAACATAACAAGTAGAATGACTAAGATAACATCACAATATGAGACATACGTTGATGAAAACAAAAGAGAACTTCATTCAAATACACAGTTGAAATATTCCTTAATGCTATAGAAAGCGTTATTCAATATAATTGTCCTTATTTTTGCCTTAAAAGAGACATATTCGGTATGGTTGTCATACAATTTGGTAACTTGTTGTACAACTTTATGGCCATAACATTGGGCCTTTTTGAAGTTAGTGACAGTCTGTGTGGCGGCATAAGTACATCTTCTGTCTGGCGTAATTCCTAACATTGAATATATCTCTTATTCATGCAGGAAGAACTTAAATTTTCTTTAATATAAACAAGGCATAGTGGATACAATGAGAGTGAACTGTCATTATCTTCAACTGTTTGAAGAGCTCTCTACACGGGTAGCGACAAAGCTTAGAAGCTAATGTTATCAACATTTTCTTCTGTCATTACAAACACTTCACTAATGCGATAGCAGTTCCCCAGCAAACCATGCAGTAGCTAAGTGCCGAATGGACGTACGAAAAGTAGTACAGCTTGAGAATCTCAACACTTACAAAATTGCGGAGTTGAAAAATAACATAGCAGTGATTCGACAGTTTATTAAGAATGACATCTGAACCTGCTTGTTGCAGTTTAAATGTATCATCAATGTGCTCGCCTAAATAATAATTAATATTATTGTGTATTGACACACGATTTTATCGTTGCATCTGATTAACAGACTAGGAGATCTTTTTGTGGTGTTGAAGGCTACCATTGATACTTTAGATGAGTTTAGAACTTAACAGTTATCATGACATGCCCTCTGTTGCCCTAGTAGCTGCGCTGCGTTAACTAAATCAAGTAGTAGCCGCTTTAACCGTGAAGGCAGTATTGTCGGCGTATAGGGTTATGGCGAATAATAAATAACAACGGGCCTAGTGTACTTCCCTTTGGAACACCAGTTTCCACAACTAAAGGTGAAGATTTAATAAGGCCTGTTTCAGTTTTGACTCGAACTGCTTGTGTACGGTCATATAGATACGTTTATCAACCAATTAAGAGCACACCCCCCAATACCATAATCAAAAATCTTATTAGAGTTGAATGGTCTACTGTATTAAAAGCGCGTTTGATATCAAAGAATAAAGATGAAAATTCTTGTTTTTGACCAAATTTCCTAAGATCACATTATACCGATTAATCTTGAGTAGAGCGCTTTTCTCGGAAACCAAATTGGTAATTGGTCAGTATGCTGTTCGTAACGATAAATCTGTATAATCTGGAAGCATATGCTTTTTGCTATATATGCTACCTCTGAAGTTAGAAATGAGGCGAGAGATACTCCTTCCTTCCTGGAAAGAAAATTTAATAAGTTGTGTCAGTGGCATAACAATTAAATCGTCAATTTGACCAAGTAACGAACATGGAATACCATCGTCACAGAATGCTTCACAGATGTGTCCTTGATATATGTATGTCAAAATTTCGACATCCGTTGTAAATAGAATTTATCGTAGAAGATCTGGAACTACTACATGATTCGTTTACATGCATTCCATTTAGGATGTCTTCAACTGATTTTACGAAATATTCTTTGACCACGTCAGGAAGATTCTGATCATCTATCGGCTGACCACTATCATTAAACACATTTGTGAGCGTGGATCGGCCGGTGTTTGTCTTGCAACGTTCTTTGATAATATTCCAGGACGCGTTAGAAATATTTAATTACTCTGGTGTTAAGATATATAAATAATTATGCCTCTTTTTCAAAATTAAGTATTTGCGATGCAACTCTACATCACCCGTTGCCTTATGCAAATGAAACAAATCTAAATAAGATTCTCTCTTCGACTATATCTTTTGTCAGCCACGCATTATATGTAAATCTTTCAGCCCAAGCTCTCCGCATATGCAGAGGGAATGTTTTTTCAATAGTCTCCAAATAAGTTGAGCAAATTATTCTAAACTATTTGTCACTATTCAAGTGTGTACAATTCAGAAATTCCCAATTCTGAGATTGTGAAATATATTTAAGATGAAAGATAATCTGAATATAATTAAAATTTCTTTATAGTAAGTGACGGTAGGTAGTTTACTGGTGACAGTGATTCATCTGAAACCATTTGTAGGTGGGGGTCTGAAATCAACAGGAATCACACTAGCTTTCAGACAGCTTTCGTCGATGTTTGAAAACATTTTATCAATTATAGTCTTAGAGTGTAACTGATCATCGATTAGTCTAATGAAATTGTAGCATTTGCATAACGTTTCGCAGAATTGGGCAAAGGTATTGGATGATGTAACGTCAAAGTTAATATTAAAATCCCCACATACGAAGGTGGGTTGTTTACCCAAATTATCGAATAATTTTTTGAGAGTTGATTTCAATTTCAACTACTGCATGTTCAAATAATGACTCTACGTTATCAACTTTACAGTTGATAAAACATCTATTAAACATCGCAACACCACCTCCTCTTAGATTGCGTGAGGAAAGTAATTTGCTAACTTATAAGAATTGCGATAAAAACTCATTTCAACGGTATCACACCAAGTCTCAGGAAAACATATCATATTAGGGAAATTCAATAAATGCAGCCAGCTCTTCAACTTCCTCGGTTTGAAACGTATTCTCTAAATATTGAGGTGACAGAGTTTAATCAAGGTTGGTTGTATCTCAAACCTTAAGTGAGGCTCTTCTGTAAAGGTTTTCTCAGAAAAAACTTATAAACATAAACACCTTCAGGCCAGTTCGATGGATCCATAGCCATTACCAGTTTAAAGGAGGCATATACGCTTGGATAATCCGAGGTAACCTCTGGAAATTTACTTTGTAGCAACGACGTTGCGAGATACAAATAAAAATGCTTTACGAGGGGTAGCCCTAATGTTACTTACTTCTTTAGAGCTACCTATAATAGTTCCCCCTGTTGGGAGAGCGCCTAACATCGATCGATGCGTTGTCCGCAACAGTGGTCTGTGTGAACAGGCGGCGTCCGAATCGCATCTAGAAGTGGTACAGAAGGCATCAGGCGAACTGCCTGCAACAGCTGTTGTGAACGTTCTGCCGCTCGCTGTTCTACTGATACTAATAATAATAGCTTTATTTACGGATGACTACACAATTAGTAGTATTTCAATTGTCAATTTCAGGTATATCATGTATGTATACATGATATATATTGTAAATGAATTGACTTAAACATACTTTAGTCCAAAAGTTGAGAGTTTGCGAGATACAGGGTGTCAAAATTAAAAAAAAAAATTACCTATTTTTCCTTATTGCTTGAGAAGTATTTCAGATTTAGGCATGAAACTCGGCTTAGG